GCTGTGTGTGTGTGTGTGTGTGTGTGTGTGTGTGTGTGTGTGTGTGTGTGTTTGGGGTCCACCTGGCTGAGTTTGTAGACGTAGACCTGGCCCTGCTCGTCCCTCTCTGAGCCCATGAACATGGGGGCTCCCACCAGGAGCAGGTCAGTGTAGGAGTCCCCGTCGATGTCCACCGTCTGCAGCACGCTGCCAAAGTAGGAGCCGATCTGCTCAGAGGAAAAGGAAATCCACATTTATCAGCATTAGGATTTATTCTCTTAACAGTTTGTGACTTTTTTTTTCCATTAATCAAGCTATGAAACATCTCCGCTGCAGTGTTCATCCGCCCTGTAAGTGTGTGTGTGCGTCTAAATGTTGATTTTAGGATTTTCATTCCCTGCTAGCATCGCGATTATGACCAATTCTTCTGTTGAAGATCTCAAATTGATCGATCTTTTGCAGAGACATTTAATCCAGAGCCACACACAAAGACAAAAGGACAATAAACTGCAATTACAGCATCCCAAAAGCTAAAATTAGCTTAAACATCTGTTTTTATAAGTGGACCCTGTCCCAAATTTTCCCTTTAGCCATGTTCTGCCACAAAATTCAGCACAAGCTCATGATCTATTTAACTTTACTTTAAATAGCTAAAAATCTCACTTTCAACATCTGACATTTTTTATATGTCCTATTCGGAAAAACGAGAATTTGATTTAATTTACGTCCCATTGATTAGCTTTTTCTTTAGATTTGAGCTTTAACAAGCTCAAATTTGAGCTTGTTTCTGAGAGAAATTGACCAAGTGTGCGTGCTTACACACACATATCGATAGTGTGTAAGATTAATTAGATAAGTAGAGATACCCAGCTTTTAACAAAAGCTTCGAATAGAGAGAATAGCTTCTAATTTGAGTGATCTGAACCCATCAGCGTCTTTTCATTAGAGCCTCTCTGCTGCAAACAGAAGCTTTCTGATTGGCCGACCGGCCCACTCGCCTGCTCTCCTTTCAGTGTCTGTGAAACGACGATTTTGTTCTTCTTGTTCAGCCGGTAGATGACCACGCGGCCCGTGTGGTTGTAGCGGGGGGCCCCCGTGATGTACAGCTCTCCTTTCGGGGTGGACGCCGACTGGACATCATAGCCTGAACAAAAAAAAGGGGATCCACGGTCGGCACAAACAGGAAATACGACCGGATTCCCATCTATGATGTCACCGGTTACAAGCAAAATGCGACAAAACAGAAAAAAAACAGACAAAATTCCTTCTGTCTTTGTGAGGGATTTTCAACAGCTCCTGTTTATGTCTGCCTGTGTGTGGAGAAAAACTGTGAAGCCCCAGTGGAAACTGGCAGGGGAACACGCCGAGGCCTGGCCTTAAGATTCATGTGCCAGCAGCTGAGTTTACAGTACGAGAGCCTGGACCCTCCGTCTGACGACATGTTGATTAAATATCCTGATTCTAAGATGCCGCAGTAGCCATAAAAGGCTGCAGGACGCTCAGATGAATGTGTCACTTCCTTCAGACTCAGACTGTTTGCTTAATCAGATAATATCAATGACTAAAACTAACTAGAATTTGGCTATAATTGCTCACTTTAGCATTGTATGCTATCACATGATCTATGTCAATTACTGATTGTTTTATTTTCTTTTATAACAATTTTTGTTATCTGGCTGTGTCCACAGACTCTCTTTTCTCTCTTTTTCTGTTTCTGTTGCATTAGATCCACCTTTAGGTCAACACACACACACACCATTTGTTACCACATTCCTGTCATCTGCATGAATTAGGACCTGGCCTGTTCAGGCCCAGAGGTAACTGGCCAATAGGACTTGGTTGTGTCCAGTCCTCCTTTGAGGAGACGGATCGAGCCCAGGAGATAATGCCCATCACCCAAATCTCAGGGCTCTTTGCCCACTGAGACCCAGAGAGAGGTTTTAGTCTGTTAGAGCCCAGCTAATACACTTAACTGTGTCCAATAAATGATTTTTTTTTAATACTTTTGATCCACTCTGGTTATTATCAGGTTTCCAAGTAAAGAATTGGGTGAACAAATGCTACAAAGGTCTCTAACTGACAAGAAGCCTCAATCTGAAGATATTCCCAGTTATTACACAGTATCTCCCCAGTATGAATCTTTAATCCAAGATGAGTAAATGATTGTAATTCTTGTCTTAACCCTATAATGCCAAATATATCATATTTGATTCGTACTGTTTCTGAAATGTTTTGCGTCTGACACCTTTTTCCTAATTTAATGGTAACAACTTTGCTCAAAATCCTATTGTACACAATCAGATACACCTGATAACAGGGGGCAGAAGACTACACAAAAAATAATATTGATTTATCGCATAGTAATAAATCATTAATATTAAAAATGTATTTCTGTTTTTCTTTTTACATATTTTGTTAAAAGGCCAAATAAAGACTTCAAAACAAAAAAAAGTCATTTTCTGTTTTGTTTTATTCTCGGATCCGGCTTTAAAGGGTTAAAAAGAGATTTTCCACTCACCGAGGTACCCCGCCAGTCCTTCGTACCTGCCCTCAGACTCTGGGTCGTAATACCAGTTTTTTTCCGGCTCGATCACACTCCCCCCGGTTTGCATCACCACCGTCCCGTTCCAGTCGTAGGCGCCCACTGCTCCCAGCAGCACGCCGTCCTGCAGAGCCCAGATCAGCATTTAAAAGAGGTAGTATTCATAAAAGATGGAACGGAGGTTCGGTTATGGGAACCTCTTTAAAGGGGACATACAGTATTATGCAAAACCAAGTTTTTAATCATTGATTGTGTGCGTTTGGGACTGTGGAGGGCCTATCAGCTGGAAAAGTGTGAAAAAAAATGACTGAGTCATGTTTTTGTGGGCCGCCTCAGTCTGAATCCAGGAGATAAATCAGGAGGTTTCAGGAGTGGGTAGTTTCTGACGTCATTAGCTCTAGCTCATTATAATATTCCAGCCTTTCACCTGCATGCTGCCCCCCCACCCCTCAGCTTACTCCCCTATCTGTGGAAATCCATTTACCAGCCACCTTGAACCTATTCATCAGGTTAGAAATCTGAGTGAACCAGTTTCAGTGTTATTCTCCTAAAACCTGGAACTGTCTTTCAGAAGAAGTGAGACAGGCCTCACCTCTGAAGGTTTAAACCAGGCTGAAAACATCTGAACAGCTGTGCACTTTTAATTAAACAAATTCAGGATTATTTGTCATGTTTTAGGATGGATGAGCTGTCTTCCACAAATGAAATTGCCTTGCCTTTATCAAACTGATAAGGGAACATGATATGGAGAATTAATCTCAATAAAAATGTGTCTGGGGGGACTTAGACCTTCAGATTTTGTCACATGTTCACCGCTCGCCGTTTTGGTTTATTTAAAAAAAAAAAAATTATTCAATTTTTTGAAAATGTTATTTTATTTAATTTTGGTTCATTTATTCATTTATTTTTATTTAATTTTAAAAATTCTTATTTATTTATTTATTCTTTTCACCGCCGTTTTGATTTATTTATTTAATTATTTTTATTTAATTTTCAACAATTTTATTAATTTATTTTGCCGCTGTTTTGGTTGATTTGTTTATTTATTTTTATTTAATTATTTATTTATTTTTATTTATTTTTCTCGCTGATTTGGTTTAACCCTCTAAGCTGAATGGCTCAAGCGGAAGCAGAGGAGGTGACACACACACGGGTCAGCAGAAGGGATCCTGTTTGCTTTCCGACACGAGCAGGAAATACCTATCGAGCGGGCCTGAGAAGCGTGCGACGGGCTGAAAAACAGCCGTCTGATTCAGCTTCCTCCACCCGCCGGTCTCTACCCCCAAAAGCTGGGTAGAGTAAGCATCCAAACATGCACAAACTCCCCCCGCAAACACAATCTCCAATCTCCGATCCAGCCGGAGATACCGACCATCTGACCCACTGAACGAAGACTGAAGCTCGCCGACAAATATGGAGCTTGTGATTACTGGCCAGATGTAAATATTTGGAGTTTTGGACTTACTTTGGAGGCGTGAGCGCTGAACCCGGTCTGGGACATCTCCATCTCGAAGGAGGACGTGGAGTTGCTGGTGGTGGCTGGACGGGGGAGAAGATAACTTTAGTTTGATTATACGGCAGATCAAACGGGACTCTGTTAGCATTTTGTTGTCACGCTGGAGATTAACTGCTGAATGGAAATCTGTGTTTAGAACGTTTGAAGACAGCATTGGACTTTTGGGTTAGTCACGAAGGACAAAAATGGGTTTCAATCCCAAAAATGGGTTTGAAACTTGTTAGTTGAGCTTTTATTTGGCATCATCAGCTCTGAGTCCAAGTGATGAGCTAATGCATGATAACGTAAAACTGTGAGCTCACATAAATCTCAGAACAATGCTGACTTTTTTTGGTTATTGTATTTACTCCTTTTTCCAAATGACAGGAATTTAGTCTCCCCTCATGATGGTTGAAGTTGGTCTGAAATGGCCAATAACAAAAAATGGGTCACAAAGTCCCCCGGCAAGTCATTTTTTAAGCGTCTAACCCTTTAATAACACTCCCCTATACAGCTCCATTTGTATTCCCACTATCTGTATTGACCATTTATGTTTGAAAAGGCTGTTTCTGGCCTCCAGTAGAGATTTATGTGTTCCATGGTCTTAAAACAATTCGCTGCCGTCTGAAAACACTCAAGCTTTTTATTGGATTTTTAATGCACCCACATTTAGAAAATCACCAACACTCATCCATTATAAGTAACAAATGACTTTGATCGATGGTTTTCCTCAGATTATTAGTCATTTCTGTTATTTTAGAGATTCTGAGTGTTCTTCATTTTTTACATTCAACATAAGCTCATTTTTATTATTCAATTTAGTCGTCTATGTTGCTCTTTTTAAAAATTAACCTTCCACTTGATCATCTCACAACCTCTTTAATTTTACCCTCTTTATTTGTAATGTTGGATTTGGGTTTTTGGGCTGTTTTGTGTTCTTTTTAGTCTCAAAATAGCTAATTTAGTCCACGTTTCTCTGGATGACAAGGTGTCAAACTATTGCTTTAAGCTGTGTAAAAAGTGTGTAAAACCCTCCAAATGTGTGTTTCTATGTTTACCTTCCAGGGCAAAAATCCTGTTCCCCAGCGTATCCACGATGTTCAGCAGAGCAAACTCGTCAGACACGTTGAAGAAGTGGTCCCTTAACGGCGGGCTGGAAATCAGCTCGATCTCTCTGATGAACTTCTGCATTTCCTCCGCCGTTTTGTTCTGTCGGTTGTAGTCTCCCAAAACCTGGAAACAGCACCGGAAAACACCAGGCGCTTCAAAGCTAGGCAAGGCAAGGCAAGGCGAGTTTATTTGTATACCACATTTCATGCACAAGACAATTTGCAGAGAATTTAAAAGCAGAAAAACAAGAAAAGAAAAATAATGAAAATTAGAAAGATGAAAAGTCAAGGGTGCAGATAAAATACATTCAATTTCCATTTGAACAGTTAAACAGAAGCATTTTCTTTGGTTTTAAGTCTATAATTGGCCTTCTAACAAAATATGTAAAAAGAAAAAACAAAAATACATTTTTAATATTAATAATTTATTACTATGGGATAGGTCAACATTGTTTTTTGTGTAGTCTTCTGCCCCCTGTTATCAGGTGTATCTGATTGTGTACAATAGGATTTTGAGCAAAGTTTTTACCATTAAATTATGCAAAAGGTGTCAGACGCAAAACATTTCAGAAACAGTATGTATCAAATATGATGCGTTTGGCATTACAGGGTTAATTGTTACACAAGCCAAAACATTGCCCATCTGACACATTTCGTTGGTTTGAAAAAGGTCGAATCAGGAGATGGGGACTCAGTGGAACCAGGTGTCCCATTAAGGCCCAAAGCTCAAAACCAGTGTGTGCTAATGGTCCCAGCTTTTTACGTCAATGGTCGGTTTTTCCCCTCACTTCAGATACCCCGATCCAGAGGAGACAGGGCAGGGTTTTGGATCTTTCTCCTGCTTTTTGGTCAGAACTTGACGCAGGGCAAGGGGACGGCCGGTACTCACAGCTATCCCGAACCTCTCGATGTCGTCCTCCTCGCACTGGCCCACGACGCGCTGCAGGTCGTAGAAGTCGTGCGACTCCCCGTCGGTGACGATCACCATCACCTTCTTGGCGCCCGGCCGCGCCCCCCGCTCCGGCATGAAGGCCTCCTTCCTGCTCCGGCGTGGACAGGAGTGTTAGAATTTGGCTATAATTACCCACTTTAGCATTGTATGCTATCACATGATCTATGTAAATTTGACATATTTATTTTCTTTTATGACTATTTTCTTTTCTTTTCTTTTTTATTATTTCATAATTTCTTAATTATTTATTATTATTTTATTTATTTATTTTTTTCCTTTAATTATTTTCTTTTCTTTTATTACTATATTTTGTGTTGAAGTCTGGCTCCTTTTCTCTCTTTTTCTCTCTCAATTACATTAGATTCACCTTTAGTCAACACACACACAACATTTGTTACAACATTCCTGTCATCTGCATGAATTAGGACCTGGCCTGTTCAGGCCCAGAGGTAACTGGCCAATAGGACTTGATTATGTCCAGTCCTCCTGTTCGAGGCCCATCACACCCAGATTTCGGGGCTCTTACCAACTGAGATCCTCCGGGAGCCCAGCTGATTTACTTTTTTTGTGACCAATAAATGTCATATTTGTACTCTTGATCTACTCTGGTTTATTCTCAGGCTTCCAACTAAAGAATCGGGCTAACGAGGGGTCGGATATTATCAAGCCGGAGAAATTCCAATGTCATATGCATGAATTAGGACCTGGCCTGTTCATGCCCAGAGGTAACTGGCCAATAGGACTTGGTTATGTCCAGTCCTCCTTTGATCGAGCCCAGGAGATAATGCCCATCACCCAGATCTCAGGGCTCTTTGCCCACTGAGACCCAGAGAGAGGTTTTTGTCTGATAGAGCCCAGCTGATACACTTAACTGTGACCCAAAAAATGTAATTTTTTTATACTTTTGATCTACTCTGGTTTATTCTCAGGTTTCCAACTAAAGAATCGGGTTAACAAACGCTGCAAAGGTTTCTGCTAACTGACAAGAAGCCTCAAGCTCAATATATTCCCATCAAGGTGAAGTTATTCCCAGTTATTCCACAGTATCCCCAGTATGAATCTTTAATCCAAGATGAGTAAATGATTGTAATTCTTGTCTTAAAAAGAGTTTTTCTGGGTTACGGTTAGTTATACTTTTGATCTACTCCGGTTTATTCTCAGGTTTCCAAGTAAAGAATCGGGTTAAAAGGGTGGGGGCTGAACTGGGACAAAAGGGGGGGGGGGCGTACCTGGCCGTGTCGATGGCCAGGAAGGTGCGCGTCTTCATGCCGGTGTGCTGGGGGAGGCCTTTGACGAACTGCTGCAGGTCCTTGCTGTTGTCGAACTGGCTCAGGTTGACCAGGTGACTCACGGTTTCTCCGTAGGACACTATTCCCACCTGGAAAACACGCGTTTGTCCGGTAAACGGCGTTCCCACACAGGATTTATTTCTCGTTTTAGGTTATTTTTTCTCCCCGGGGCCGTCTCCAGAGGATGTGGCTTGGGTCTGCTGAGGTAGATATGACACAATGCTCTTTATACAGAAGACTTCAGCAGCCGTGGAAGATGTGACTTTCAACCGCCGGCTCCTCGAGGGGGGAAGACTTTCCAGAGCTTCCCTGTGGAAACTGTGCAAAGCTCCAGGCCAGACTGACATAACCAGAGCAGAAACTATCCACTCCAGCCACGTGCGATCCAAGAAAAAGGGGAACAAAAATACTCCACTGGTACAACTCAGAAGACAGGCCTGAACTACAGATGGCAGAATGTTGAAAATATCTCAATAAAGAGGTCTGAAATAATGAGGTTTGGGTTTAAAAGGGAAAAACACACTGTGATAGACGCCTTTTCTCATTCAGATTCAAACTGGATAACCAGCTGAGAGAGTTATCTGTTAAACTGAAACCACAAGAGTCATTTAGAGCTGTGGGGTTATTAGTAAAAAGTGGGATAATCTAATTTTGGCACTGACTTGTGAGAGCTGTGGTCCGATCTGGGTTTTATTGAGGAAGCCCAACACAAACTTGACGATGCTCTCCCAGGGGTAGATGCTGTTGGAGCCGTCCAGGACCAGCACGATGTCCAGATTCTTTGAACATTCTGCAACAAAAGCCAGAAATCCCACTTTAGCATTCGTTCCTGAGTATGATGACACGATTTTACAGTTAAAACTCCCGAAAGAAGGCAGCCAATCCTGAATATATGAGCTCACTTATGTTTAACTTTCATTTTAAACCTGCTTTTTTAAACTAGATCATAATATACACATGTGATATTTCAAGATTTTAAATAAAACAAACAGAAAAAAAAACTTAAAACAGCTAAATATACAAATAAATGCCCTGAAAAGTAGTTAAGAACTCCCTCCTTGAGTTCACTGTGTACCTGAGGGCTTTCTGGGGCTTTGATAAACAGTGGTTTTAATTCTAATTTTAAGCCCTCCATGAATACACAAAGATAATGAATTCATGTTTTCTCACTTGAGGCAAAAGGCAGAAAAAGTCCATCTGCTTTATAGTTGCTCCAACTGTTAGTTCTAGCACTAACTTTCATGGGATATTGATAAAAATCGGCTCACGATAAATTTGGATGCTTGGCCGCTTTAAATAGTTTTAAAGGGTTTTTTTTACAGGGCGATACGATCAGCTTCTGTATTTTTCTTTGGAGAAGGAACAGCCAGAGAGGGTGAGTGGAGGAATGAGACTAACCCAAAGAGACAATGATCATAGACTGTTTACACTTCTTTCATGACTGTTTCCTTCCAGGGAAACTGAGCTCAGCCCCTGTAAACTGTCTCCTAACTTGGGCATGCAGCAAATCGGAGGGGGGGTGGGGGGTGGCAGACAAGTTTACATTAAGAAGAATGACACTCTAATCTGGCTTTTCTGTGAGGGAGGGTGAGTTTGAAGTCGGGGTCTTGGGTGGTGCTGCTGTCAGGGGGCAGATTACAATCTCTTATCCTGCAGAGACAATTAGTGCGATGGCGTCACGTCCCCATCTGACCTCTGACCCCTGACGGGGGGGGGGGGGGGGGGGGGGGGGGGGGGGGGCATACCTTGCACTGCTGGTGCTATGGAGTTGAGGATCTGGAAGGAGGAGCTGACGTTGGCACAAACCCCCGAGATGTACTGCTGCTCCCCGCACATGTAGCCGTACTGAGGACCGCACGCCTGTGGGAAACACACACAAACACACACACATATACGTGTTTTCGATATATATAAGGACGTATAACGGAAATAGAACAAATGGGGACGTGCCTTTCCAAAGGTTGTACGGGTCTGACAATCCCAGAGTTTCCTATCCATGAATTCAGGAAAGCATTCATCTATTAAGATTTTAGCTAGAGCAACACACACAAACACACACACACACACATATACGTGTTTTCGTTATATATAAGGACATATTACCGAAATAGGACAAATGGGGACGTGCCTTTCCAAAGGTTCTACAGGTCTGAGAATCCCAGAGTTTCCTATCCATGCATTCAGGAAAGCGTTTATCTATTGAGATTTTAGCTAGAGCAACATTTTGATAAATCCCAATTCAGGCACACACACACACACATATTTGTTTTTATTATATATAAGGACGTATTACGGAAATAGGACAAATGGGGACGTGCCTTTCCAAAGGTTCTACAGGTCTGAGAATCCCAGAGTTTCCTATCCATGAATTCAGGAAAGCATTCATCTAATAAGATTTTAGCTAGAGCAACACACACAGACACACACACACACATATACGTGTTTTCATTATATATAAGGACGTATGACGGAAATAGGACAAATGGGGACGTGCCTTTCCAAAGGTTCTACAGGTCTGAGAATCCCAGAGTTTCCTATACACACAAACCCAGACTGTGGGAGAGGCTGAGACCCTTCCACCAGCATAACAACCACCACCCAGAGGAGGTTCAGGGCGGCTGGAGATGAGCAGCAGACAACCCGAGAGGAAAGAACTGCTCAGGCCGAGGGTTAAAGAGAGACTATTTCGAGCCATCGGAGGTCCCCGGTGTCTGCGCAGGGAGAGGGAAAAGGAGAGGGAGAAGGCGGAGGGGCAGCGCCTGAGAGGAAACGGAGCTTAAAAAGTGACCAACAAGAGCTGGAAAATTAAATAACAGCCTTTCATTTCCTGGCCCCGTTTCCCCAGATTTCCCCCAACGTTCCCGAACCTCCGAGGTCTTCTCAGTTCGGGAGCGAGCGGTTTCTTGAGTCACTGAGGCTGTAAAGAGCTAACGCGATCTAACTGGGTTTGAATTCCTCGCTGGTTTGTTTAATTTTTCATAGTCGTTCCCCCTGGAGACGGCCTCCAAAGCCATGGATGGGCGTCTGGTGATGCCATAGCGGCTCGCTATAAAGAATTTATGCTTCTATGTTCACAAAAAACACGAGTGGAAAACATTTATGGACGAATAATAAGTTTTCTTTGTCTCTTTTTCAAAACAAAATCAAGATTTAACAGCTAAAGCCACAAACTGAAGGCTCAAAAAAGCAGCATCTGTTTGTATTACTGCCCAAACTGAACGGGACATTAGTCAAAAATAGCAAAAGGAGCTTATTCTTTATGCCCCTTGGGCTATAAGTCCATTTCCCCTCTCAATCATGAGCAGCAGAGAGGAGTCTGCCTGACAGGCCGAGGAACCTGTGACTGACAGTAAAGACACTAAGGGGAAGTGGGGGAGAGACGGGGGGAGAGGGGGGGGGGGGGGGGGGGGGGGGGGGCAGCGTATAGCAGGATGTAAAGACCAGGCCCCACTGTGCCAAAGGTGCCGTTTCGATATCTAAACTGCATTTGAAACTGAGCATGTGAGCCGATGGAGCTCAGAAACCCCTCTCAGGGGAGGTTTCCTCTTCTTGTTAAGCAGGTTATCGAGTTGGATTCAAATCGATTCACAGGAGCTCAGAAAACATCCCGATCAGACCAACACCGGGGGCTCTGGTTTTGCTCTCATGTTTCAGGGGTAGTTAAACGAAGCAAATCTTTAGAAATGGCTTCAGAAAGCCCACGGAATCGATTCCTGTAATGCAACTCTGAGGGAAATCAAAAGAGGATGCAAACAAATTTACAATAGAATACATGAATATGCTGAAAATGTAACGCTTCACAGTGAAAATAAAAGACAATCTGACAGTTTTACGCTGTCTCTTAAATGAAAAAGGCCTAAATCCGTCCGTTTCGGCTTCAATTACACCTCGTCTTTCTCCAAATACCCTCGCACCACTTAACAAGCTGGATAAACACAGGCTTAATGGCCCCCGTCAGAGTGATCATCAGGCCTAAGTGAGCTGCCTCGTTACTCTCATCCCACATTTCTTCACACGGACAGCTGAATCGCAGAATCCCTCCCAGGACCTGAGGGCTGATTGAGGAGTTTCCACCGGCTATAAAGCTCCGGTCAACGTATATTTGGCCGAAAATAAGCAAAGATCTCTGTGTTTTTCCTCCACATAGTAGAAGAACGTAAAGCGCTTCCTTCTTACCAGAAAGCCTCCGCTGGGATTGGTCACCAGCGTGGTTCCCATGGTCATGTTCTCCTTGACTTCACGCAAGTTGGGAACGGTTGTGTTTTCTGTGAGAGGGAAAAAAAAAACAGCGCGGATAAACAGAAGGGAGACAAACAGAAGACGGACAGCCGAGCGAATTCCTCTTCCTCGTTTTCCCACAGGAAGAGAGCCGCTCGGCCTCGTCTCAAACTTCCGCCCGCGGAGGACCTAATAACCACCGACGTGCGGTTAAATATGGCGTCTCATGACTTTAGCACGCCGTCCCTCAGTCTGCAGCCTATGGCTGATGCACAGGAAGCATCGAATCATTAAGCTTCTAATGCCTCCACTGGAGAAAACTTTCATTTTTAGAACTATCAGAGGTTAAAAAAAAAAAAATCAACTTTGAGTTTGCATTGATCCATCATCCTTTTACTCCAGCTGAAGGACGATTTGTAATTCCTAGGGCGAAAACTAATTTTCTCAAATGCACCTTTACTTACAGAGCAATGAAAGAATGGAACTCACTGCCATTAATTCTCATAAAAATTGTACATAAGTCTGCTTTTAAAATGCAACTTAAGAAGTTTTTAGGAGCAACTTATCTATAAATGAAATAGTTTCATATTCGAATTTATTGTAACTTATTAATAAAATGTTAAAATTTTCAATTTTCAATTGTAACTTTCCTCTTTTCTATGAATGTTCAGTCTTATTGATATGTATATGATATTTGTCATCTGTCAAACAAGATCATGAATTTACATTGTATACTGTATTTTTAATGATGTGGACCCCAGGAATATTTGCTGGGTGTAAAGCACAGCTAATGGGGAACCCAATAAGAAATAAACAAATAAACAAACTCCAAAGAAAATCCAAGCACGGAGACTCCCGACTCAGTTTGTGTGTGACGCTTCAATAAAAAGGAACACGGCTCGTGTGACTTTTATTAGTTTAAGCCAATAAAATGGAAGGCTGGGAGGGAGATCTTGTGGCTTACAGCAGAGGAAAAAAAAAAAAAAAGGTTTGTAGCTTTCAGAGCAAATCACAGCCAGACTGTTTTGGTCCAGAATTATGTCTTGAAAATGGAGGAAACCATGAATGAAAAGTGACACAAACTAATTAGAAACAGACATTAAATACAGTATGAATACATTCATTTTCTATTCTATTCTATTTTATTCTGTTCTTCCTGGTAGAGAGTGCACTCATACTCACTCCTATGGGCAATTTAACCCTATAATGCCAAATGTATCATATTTAATACATACGGTTTCTGAAATGTTTTGCGTCTGACACCTTTTGCATAATTTAATGGTAAAAACTTTGCTCAAAATCCTAATTTACACAATCAGATATACCTGATAACAGGGGGCAGAAAAACTACACGAAAAATAATCTTGACTTATCGCATAGTAATAAATCATTAATATCAAAAATGTATTTCTGTTTTTTCTTTTTACATATTTTGTTAAAAGGCTAAATAAGGAATTCAAACAAAAAAAAGTAATTTTCTGTTTTGTTTTATTCTTGGATCAGGCTTTAAAGGGTTTAAGTCACCAATTAAGCTAATATGCATAATGTTTGTGTGTGGAAAGAAACCTGTGATTGGCCAATAGATAACTACCTTGTTTGTCACATGGAGCAGATTTTCTAAAAAGTCGTTTCCCTGTGCTGCTAAGCAGGCGACCCAGATATGACGTTATTATTGCAGCATAATTATCGTGGCACAGTTGAACTGTTTGGATGGAAACGCGGTCAAAAGATTACAACACAGCCACCGCACGCTTTTACCACCCTCATTATGGTCGGGGCCCCTCCGTCTGAGCGGGGGGGGGAGGGGCTAACACATGACTGACGCCGAGTCATGAGAGGAAAACTGCCGAGTCATGCTTGGCTCCATCCGCATGCCTAAATGGGTAATCTGGGATGTTTTCCAGATATGATAATATGATAATACATTTTGTTTTTAAAAAGCGCCTTTCATACCACTCAAGGATACTTTACAAAGACGATGGTCATTAAAACAACATCGAAACATAAGAAAACATACAAAGTCATAAATAAAGACATCATTAATGAATAAAAATGGAGTGAATAAAACCGTGCAGAATGAGGGGAATGTCAGAGTTAGGGGCGGTGAGGTGGGTAAGAAATTTTAAACAGGTGGGTTTTGATTTTGTGTTGAAAATAGGGAGAGAGTCGGTAATTGGGACGTCAGATGGCAAAGAGGTCCAGAGTCGGAGAGCCCCCCCGCCCCCATGGTGCTGAGGTTAGGGTTAGGAGTTAGAGTTAGGGTCAGGGGTTAGGGTTTAAGGTTAGGGTCCCCCCACCTGGGGCTGAGGTTAGGGGTTAGGGTTAAGGGTTAGTGTTTAGGGTTTAGGGTTAGGGGTTAGGGTTTCTCCCCATGTTGCTGAGGTTAGGGTTAGGGGTTAGGGTCCCTAACCCTAACCCTAACCCTAACCCTAACCCTGTGGACGGCTTTGAAGGTGTATAGAAGGATTTTGAATTGGATTCTTGGGGTGACTGGACCAATGAAGCTGCTGTAGGATGGGGGTGACATGGTTGTAAGAAGGGGTTTAGGTGAGCACACATGCAGCCGAGTTTTGGACCAGCTGAAGCTTATGGAGAGATTTGTGAGGGAGATATGGAGGCTTTGGCCTGTTTAGTTCGGTTCTTAGCAGCCGGATGACTTTCCTCCCTTTGTTTGATATCTTTAAGGTGTGAACAGCCATGTTGAGCTATTCCACTCTGAGAGGTGCACATCTGGAAGACTTACAGCTGTCCTGTGGACGCTAATGGGGGCTTTACAGCTCCCCGACTGGGAGCTGAGCTTTGTTTATCTTCTTAATGAAGATAAATTGGAAAGATGAAACATTAAAACGTTGTTTATTTACTGTCTTCCTCCTCTGATGGACCAAACTTCCTCCCCTGGAGGCGGGATCACATGTGCAGCAGCAGTTTTGAGACGGAGTTTCGGCTAAACGAACGGACTCCTCGTTTGCCATCAGTTAAGATAAACACATTATAGCTCTGTCGGGCCTCCAGCTCCAGGCTGAGAACCAGGTCTGCACGCAGGATTTTAGAGAGAAAAAAGAATATGCAATCTGGAAACGGAAAGGCCTAAAGCACCTCAGAGTTTATACTCCGTGCTCAGTAGCCCGGTTATGCTAACACACGTGCTATCGATTAGCATAATGATCAAATCTAAAAAACTGTTAACTATCCTGTAAACCCTTTATAGCCTGATCCAAGAAAAATAGGAAGAATATTGGATTTTTTTAGTCTGAAGTCTTTTTTTGGCCCCTTAACAACATATGAAGAAAAAAAAACATACATTATTTTGTTCAACTTAGCGTGCAATAACTCAAAAATATATTTTGGTGTAGTCTTCTACTGGCTGTTATCAGGTATATCTGAATGTGTACAACAGGGGTTTGAGCAAAGCTTTTACCACTGAATGATGCAAAAAGTCTCAGATCCAAAAGACTTCAGAAACCGTATCAAATATGATACATTTGGCATTATAGGGTTAACTACAGGATAGTTAACAGTTTTATGCTTAGCTAGAGGTCAGAATGTGCTGTTAAAATACAAATCCTTCAGAAATTAATGTTTTTTAACAACAAATTGGTATATTTTTGGGCCATTTGAGCTTATTAACTGATGCTGTGATTAAGAAAAACACAAGTTTATGTATTTTAGATGTCTTTCTCGGTATTACTGTATTACTACAACTCTTTACATTACCATTCATGCAGTAAAATGATAATAACTGATGTTATGGACCATTTAAAGAGTTTGATTCCCTTTCACAAAGGTAATCAGAGGTAGTTATTCTAAAGGGTTTAATTCAATTTTTATTAAAGGGGTAAAAAAGTTGTGACTTCATGAATAAGAAAAGTAAAAAAGAACCAAACCTGGAACCCTGGCTGTTCAAAATCTGTTAAAAAGATCACTGATCTTAAAAGATATGTGTCGGGAGTTGATTATTGGCACCATGTTTGACCCTGGTATGGATTTGTGTGGCCGATCGGATTTCAGGCTGGACCGAACCGTGTTCCTACCGGGCAGTTCCAGCTTGACGCACGTGTTGTTGTTTCTGCCCACCGGACATTTGTAGACGTCTCCGGTCCGTTTGGCCGGTTGCCCCGACAACGGCGACCCGATGAGAACCCTGAGGAAATAAAAGAAGACAAAGCTGTGGCTGGTAATGGATTGGAAATGCAGAAAGAAGGCCGCATATTAGAGAAATACTGGCCATGAGGCCCACCAGTGAGCTGGAATCCATTTTAAATGGGCTTAATTACGCTTATATAGTCAATTAAAGCATAAACCGCAGATCCAGATTGGCTAGGTAAACCTACTGGCAGGATTTAAACCTCATTATCCCCCCTTACCCAACTTTTAAAAGGCTGAGATTGAGAAATCTTTCATTATCACGTTATTCTCGCCCGACCACATTTGGTGGGAGGAGTTCCTATTCCTCGATGTGATGTCACGATGCTAAAAACAGGCGGTCATCTGCCTTCCTGAGAACGCTCAAACTTATTAACATTCCTCCGCTCTAATGGGGCCTGCTCATTTCAAACGAGATGGAGAGCAAAACAGCTCCTTCAATGGATCCCACATCACATCCTCATCCTTCTGTCCAATGTCGATTACTTGGCTACCAGTGAGACAGAGCTAAGACCTTATTCCTACTTAATAAATATGGTTTTCTATAACTAAGAGCTAGATATATACAGGGTAAGAGCATATATATGCATATTATTGCACAGAGTTATTACAAAAGAAACATCAATGAATATTGCACTGAGTTGATTGCAAAAAGAAACAATTGAGTTAAGGAGAAACAATTGGTCTGGTTCCATAAACACAAGTTTATGTATAAGTGGAGAAGATGCCTTTCTCTGTATTTCTGATTCCATTTGCTACAACTCTTTACATTATCGTTCATGCAGGGAAATGACAATAACTGATGTTTTGGACCATTTAAAGAGTTTGATTCCCTTTCCAAAACCCTTTTTAAAGCATGACTGTTGAATTTTGGAGGCACTGTTCCTGCTAATAGCTTGAAATGTCTCCCATTCCCACGTGTAAAACACATGATACCAAAGGTAGTTATTTTAAAGGGTTTAATGGAATTTTTACTAAAGGGGGGAAACAAGTTGTGACTTCAAGGATAATAAAAAGTCTAAAAAGACCAAATCTGGAACAATGGCTGCTCAAAAATCAGTTAGAAAAATCACTGATCTTAACCCTATAATGCCAGATGTATCATATTTGATACATACGATTTCTGAAAATTTTTGCATCTGAGACCTTTTGCATCATTTCATGGTAAAAACGTGGTTCAAAACCTTGTTGTACACAACCAGGTATAGCTATAAAAGCGAGCAGAAGACTATGCACAATCATTTTGACTTAGCAGAAGGTAATAAAGGACGAATATTCAAATATAATTTCTGTTTTTTCTCATATATTTTGTGATGGGTCAAATAAAGACTTCAAACAATAACAAAAATTCTCCCTATTTTTTTTTTCTTGGATTGGGCTTTAAAGGGTTAAAAGATATGGGTTGACTATTGGCATAATATTTGACAGTATTCTCCAGACTCTCCTCTGGCACATGCGGTTTCCAGGATTTATCCAGATTTCTGGATCATTTGTCTGTTTGTTGGGAGGAAATTCTTTTGGCGCCTCTTCGAACGAGTCGACGACAAAATGAAAATTTATTCCGACGTTAGTTTCCAAACACATGGCGCAGAGGAGTGATTTAAACGATGAAATTAAACCCAATTTGTGCCACATGTTGCGCGTTTGCTCTGAGAAGCTGATTTGCTTTTGAGGGTGGAGGCCCGGTGGAGACATCTGCCACCAATCAGCCGGATCCCTGAATGCTGCACTGCCGTCTGATTGCTGCGTTTTTGTGAAATATTCTCCCACAATTAGCCCTGAGAGCAACTCATCACGTCTAAATCTTCCCCCTGCGAACTCCAGGAGGACTCGGCCTCCCTCTCACGCCTCCACCCGGCTGGATCCGCTCCACTCGGGTCCAGAATCCTCCTTATTTTATCAATTTTTTTTTTTATAAAAAAGGGAAAAAAAAAAAAAAAAAAGAAAAAAAAAGAAAAAAAGAAGGAAAAAAAGAAGGGAAAAAAATGAAAAAAGAAGGAAAAAAAGTAAAAATTAAAAAAATTAAAATAAAAAGAAATAAAAGAAGAAAAAAAAGAAGAAAAAAAAGAGAAACAAGAAGAGAAAAGGGGAAATAAAAGGGAAAAAAAAGGAAAAATAAAATCGTCCTTTTTTTGGCCTGCAGAATTCGGGGAGGTGAGGCCAGAGCCCTCCCTCCCTCTTCCCATTGGCCGAGCGGCTGTAACTGGCCTCATGTGAGGCTGATGAGACCCTCAGGTGGGAGCGGCTGCGGGGGGGCGGCGGGCGGAGGCAGAATAGGCCGTGAAAACCGAGCTGGGAACAAATGTGGAGGCAGGGAGCCACCGGCGACAGCCTGGTGACATTTAACAATATTTTACAACCTCTTCCCAGGGTTCAGGAGGGATGCTCGGCCCCAGCTGGGTCTGGGCATAAAAGGTGAGCAGCTGCCCTGCTCCCCATCACCTAGTTTTACAAGGAAACTGGTTTATTTTTGTTTTTGTAAATATCCTGGAGTCAAATTAAACTGAACCGAGGACCAGTCGTGGTAAAACCTGTCACAAAGTGAGATTTTATTGCACCAATGATGCTAAATAGTTAGCTTGGAATCCTTTTAACTGTTTCAGATGCTCGTTGTAAACCCTTTCATGCTGTGCTTATTGTATTTCTGAGACAGATTGCATCACCATTTAGGCACAGCATTGTTTAAAAAGACTGTTAAATACAATATTTCCCGTTTCTAAATTTGGTTTATCATTAAAATTCCAGCGTGGGACCTCGATACATGTTAACATTGTGTCCCACTAACAATTTGTATACTTAAATGAAGCTTTAAGGATAATTAACTAACACCAGTTGCACTGCAAATCGAAAAAAAATGAAACATTAAATTGGACGAATTGTTTTCATTACTTATATTACTATATTATATTACTTTTTTATGTCTGAAATGCAGAACAGGATATTAAATAATTGCATTCGACAACATGAAGTCAGTATCCTGATGCGTTTGGGGGCAGTTGGAAAAATGTTAACCTCATAGTTTATTATCAGAGGGAATAAATGTTTGCGGTGGGCCATTTAAAGACTGTTTTAACTACTTTATCGTGACCACAGCTGCAGTAAGACTGGAGTTTATTTACTCTCTTTAGGATATCAGCGTCTGAGGGAAATCTCCTTTTAACTGCTAAATGCTCCAATGTTTCACTGTCTTTCATTTCTTGTTTGCTGGCAATCAGAGCCACAGGATGTTTTTCAGAGCTTTTTGGACAAAAACAAAAAACAGCGCTCCACGTCCAAAAAAGAAATTAAACGTTTTCTAACCAAAATTTGGGATATTTTTGTGCCATTTTGTGCCATTTGGACTCATTAACTGATGCTGTGATTAAATAAAACACAAGTTTATGTGCAGTGAAATGACAATAACTGACATTATGTACCATTTAAAGAGTTTGATTCCCTTTCACAAAACCCTTTTTAAAGCATGACTGTTGAATTTGGGAGGAACTGTTCCTGCTAATAGCTTAAAATGAGGTAACAGGTCTCGCATTCCCACGTGTAAAACACATGATACCAAAGGTAGTTATTTTAAAGGGTTTAACTTAATTTTTATGGGGGAAAAAATTTGTGACTTCATGGATAAGAAATGTCACAAAGAAAAATAGTTTAACTGGAACACATTTCTTGTTTTCTGGCAAACAGACAGGATGTTTTTTAGAGCTTTGTGGACAAAAAAAGCTCTCTAACTCCAACAAAGATGGTGGACGAGGATGCTGCATCTTTGTCTCAAGGCACTACCATCTTAAATTCTCCTAAAATCCGATCAAATTAACAAGATCACCCTCCTTTTCTGTCCCGACTGGCTCACATGACCGGATCAACGGTCAATATTGCACATTACAATTGATCACTTTATATTTATAATATCACACAATTTCCCACACCTAAAGTTTATGTCTACAGTGGGGGAAATAAGTATCTGACCCCTTGCTGATTTTGCAGGTTTGCCCACTTACAAAGAATGCTTATTTTTCCACATTAGATGGTTATCAATTTTTATAAATTCATATGATGTGATTTTCTGGAATTTTCTTTGGGATTCTGTCTATGATTAAAGTTATAGATCGTTGCATTCTTTGTAAGTGGGCAAACCTGCAAAATCAGCAAGGGGTCAAATACTTATTTCCCCCACTGTACGTCTGCATGGGAAAGCAAGAAACGCAATTTCAACTCTTTGTATGACCAACGCATCTAAAAAAAATTGACAATAAAGCCACTTGACTTGACTTGAAGTGTCCAGAATAGACGATTTCCAACAGAAACAGACACAGAAGCTGACTCAGACCTGGAGACGAACTGTTCTTTTGGAGAGATAAAACGACTAAACTGTGCTTAATTATTCTGGAAACACGATTTTCTCAGACAGAAGGGGGACCCACCATTTTCCCTCGCTGTTCTCAAACTGCTGCACGGTGTAGCCGAACATGTCCTCCAGCGGCCCGCTGAAGGAAAGGCTGTTCTTCTGGTCCACGTTGAAGGAAAGCACACACACCAGCAGCCCTGCACGGGTAAAGGGAGACAAGATATTAGTTATTTCGGTCATCTTAACCCTATAATGCCAAATGTGTCATATCTGATTCATACGGTTTCTGAAGTCTTTTGGATCTGAGACTTTTTGCATCATTCAGCGGTAAAAGCTTTGCTCAAACCCCTGTTGTACACATTCAGATATACCTGATAACAGCCAGTAGAAGACTACACCAAAATATATTTTTGACTTATTGCACGCTAATTTGATCAAAATAATTTCAGTTTTTTTTCTTCATATGTTGTTGAGGGGCCAAAGAAAGACTTCACACAAAAAAATCCAATATTCTTCCTATTTTTCTTGGATCAGGCTTTAAAGGGTTAAGTGTCTCCAGACTGAGTTTATATCAAATAAACCAATCGAAATCCTGGAGGGAGGCATTTTATGAATGTCCTCTTTCCGGATGTGCGTCGACGATATTTACAAACCGATCGAGATGCAAATGAAAATGAAAAATAAACAGGCCGAGTTAAATAATATCCTGGAGAATTAAACCCGCAAACTGTGTCTAATTATGTCAATAAAGCTTGGCAGGGCAGGAATAAAAAAACAAAAAAAAGCGCACCAAGACCAAGACACAAACTCTGAAAGTAGAGTGAGTTACACACACACTCTCACACACACACACAGAGTTTTTCTGGAGGATGTCGGAGGAATTTCGAGCACTGGCGTGGAGCACATCGGTCAGAGTCCAGTCGGGTTGACCGGACAATGGCGTCCTCTCTGCTCCGCGTCCAGTCCGTCACTGGGCCGAATATATCACATCATCGACATAAACCCCTCCGTGTCTCATTGTGCCCGCGCCACAATGCCCCTCTTTATGTTTTTCTCTTCCCCCCTGAATTCCTTCCAGCGTAATTGATTAAATTCGCAGACTTGTGAGGAAGAGGAGCGAGATTAAAAGACACACACACACAAGAAGGCTTTTTGTGTTTGTGCTTTTTTTTTTTCCCGGGACGCGTTCGGGTTTAAACGTGGCAGAGGAGTCTGGACAGATGTTATTCCAGACCTCTGGGCAGCAGAGATGGGGAAACTTGATGGATGATAAAGGGTCGTTCTGTGGTCAGCCATTTTGCTCCGGAGCGAAAGGCCTCGCCGTTTACAAGAACATCTACGATCCCCCTAGAGGATCCACTCAGAAGACTATCTGCAGAGTGATAGTCTGACATTTGAATCCAGCCCTCCTCTGGGACGCTTCCAGAAATTCCTCTCATGCTTTTGCAGCCATGTCCTTTTATATACTTACACTTATTTACGATCCGCGTTGGGGTTTTTTAAAGCTTTTTAAGACGTTTCGTCTCTTTTCAAGCACACATTTAGACACTGTGATATGAAATTGTGGCACAGATTAACCCTGTAAAGCCAAATGTATCATATTTGATACGTACGGTTTCTGAAATGTTTAGCGTCTGAAACCTTTTGCATAATTTAATGGTAAAAACTTTGCTCAAAATCCTATTGTACACTTAGAAATACCTGGTAACAGGGGGCAGAAGACTACACAAAAAATAATCTTGACTCATCGCATAGTAATAAATTATTAATATCAAAAATGTATTTCAGTTTTTTCTTTTTACATATTTTGTTAAAAGACCAAATAAAGACTTAAAACAAAAAAAAAGTAATTTTAGGTTTTGATTTAAAGGGTTTAAAGGGGTAAACGTTAGTTTTGACGTCAGTTTGCTGGATTCCCAAACTCTGGGCATATTTATGGTTCATAATTGATAAAGGCTCAAAAGGTTGGAGTTATTCTGGGTTGTTGTGTCTCTGGATGCTAGCAGAGGAGTTATAAAAACTCTGACATTAACGAGGAGATTTAATCTAAAGCGATATTTTCTAAATTGGCACAGAGAGAGGCTGAGTCATACACAGTCATCACGGACAAGTTATTATTACCGTTTCCTCTTCTCTCTTCATCCTTTCTGCACTTCCTCTGTGACCCATCTCTCAGACAAGCTCCATTTCCTGTTCCTATTAACTCCATTATACACCCCCCCCAAAATCCACAGGTATACACACACACACACACTCACTCAGACACTCAGACACTTAAACACACACGCAGTTAATTTAGCTAATTCAAGATGGCCTGGGGCCAGCAGAGCCTTTTTCATTTAAAACAGACCCAGCTCAAGTACAGTTCTGAGTCATCCTGTCTGGAGCTGCAAGTTCAACCCCGAAATGTCCTCTGACAGACAGAAAGTGCTTCCATCAATCTCATCTCGGCTGCCCTCGCTGTCTCCTGGTTGTGTAACCGACCTACAGTGAAAAAACCAGGTCGCTTTGATCCAGAAACGCTGGGGTGTTGGCATATAAAGCGCCTGTCTGTGATATAGTCTGTGATATATATCGTATATAGTCTTTTTTATTGTTCTGTTCATATTCAGATTGTGCTGAGTCATGGAATCTGGTCACCAGGATTGTGCGTTAGGTTTGTGAGTCTGAGCTTCCGAGTGTATTTCCGGGTTATGCAACCGGTTGCCGAGCACAGATTTGTGTCGATAACTTTAGAACCACAAGAGATGTCGCAAATCTGATTGCAGCAATTTCATTTCGTGACCACGTTCCCATTGGAAAAACTTGCCTGTTGATCCAAGATGGCGGCTTTCCGTGTTAGTCTGATAAAGGCCCCCTCCCCTGTTAATGCCGGGCTGTGCAGAAATGTCCTTTTTCCATTTATTTTCTGAAATAAAACGATAACCTGTGACTCACCTTCTACTTGGGGGGTGTAGTCAGAGCTCACTCCACGCATTTGATCACATGAACAAATCGTATAAATATATATAAATAGATCAACATGGACAGGGAGTGTGGAGATAAACCAGAACTGGAACATATTTATGTCATCATCCATGTTTTCTTTTAAATAGATCTACAGAAATGTGTCTTTGAATTTAATTAGGGGGCACAATCACTCCGTCCAGTCTTTAAGCTCATGAGAAATTACTTTTAATGTGTTTCATTACATAAAAAAATACAATTTGGCTCTGGTTTCAGGCTAAACTTCCACAGAATATTTTATTATCCTGGCTGACATTTGGGTTAGCATGAACCGTTAGCAAAACTGTGGTCAAAACTAAAAAAGCTGCTAAAGATTAGCGCAGTGAACTGATGTTAACATTTAATAGAAAACAACTATTTCTCAGTAGGGGAGGTGGAGCAGCTGCTGTGTATTTAATGCTTTTAGCAGGAAGACACAAACACGTGCTAATCAACACAAGGCTGCAGGGTTAGTGGTTCACATTTCAATTTCAAGTAGCATTTTTTCCCCCGTTCTGTGTGCAAAATTGTGTTTGCTGTTTGGCTTTTAGCGCCGTCAAAACATCAGGGACCCCCATTTCGATTATCACCGGGCCTGAAAGCATCCTGTCTGCACCCAAAGGATCGAGTCTGCTAATGCGTTGCTAAAATCCGTGCACATCCTCGTGTTTTGCCGAGAGAACAAACTCATTTTTGTCAGACAGAATATCCAATCTGAATCGGGCTTGAGTAAAACAGCCTCGCGATTACGAGTGGGTTCTGTTTTCTGTCAGCTCCACGAAGTCCTGACCGGTCCTGGCAGGCCCTTTACCCACACTGACCCTCAGTAAAACACAGCTGCCTTCCTGGAGTTGGGCTCTCACAATCTGAGTCTGAGCAATCCAGCTAGGCGTCAAGCCACGAAGAAGAAGCCGGGGCTCAGCACCTGTTTGACATCAAACCTGCTGTAAAAATCCCCCCTGGCCACCTGTAGGCTTCAAAGCCCCGGTTAAAAACACACGTCCAACTGGCACCTGCTCATCTGCAACGCAACCAGCCGCCCGTAAACCGTTTAAAAGCTCCATGACAACCAGCGCAAACTCATCAAGGAGCTTTAACCCTTTAAAGCCAGATCCAAAAAGAAAACTAAACAGAAAATTACTTTTTTTTTTGGTTTGAATTCCTTATTTGGCCTTTTAACAAAATATGCAAAAAGAAAAAACAGATATACATTTTTGATATTAATCATTTATTACTATGCGATAAGTCAAGATTATTTTTTGTGTAGTCTTCTGCCCCCTGTTATCAGGTGTATCTGATTGTGTACAATAGGATTTTGAGGAAAGTTTTTACCATTAAATTAAGCAAAAGGTGTCAGACGCAAAACATTTCAGAAACCGTACGTATCAAATATGACACATTTGGCATTACAGGGTTAAAAGGAGACACATCTCAAATGTAAACTGATACAAAACAGGAAAAATTCAGATTAAGTAAACGCACTCATGTCTAAACCGGGATCTGAATCTAGCTAACGGCGGGGCATCTGACCCTTTGAAGGGTCAGATGGACTCTGGGTGTGACCTATCGGGACCATGTGCTGGCATTTCCCAGCAGGCAGCTCTGGCACGGGGGAGGAGGCTTCATACTCTGGCACGGCCGCAGGCAGCTTTGAGTCATGAAAAGCTTATGAGGCCGAAATATTTCCAGATTTCCTCCTTTGTTCTTTTATATTTACTCTCCTTTCCCCGCTGATCTCTCTCTTCCCTCCATCGTACTTTTTCTCCCTACTTTCGCATTTTCAAACGCTAACCTGGAGATGACTTTTAGCTCGTCTTGATCTGATTAATTTGGTGTTTTCTGGGGGTTTTCATTATTAGAAACTGTTGTACTGTGTGTGGGAGAGAAGCGAAGAGGCGTTTAAAATCACAGAAGACAAGGGCTGAATTCCTTTGAGTTTCGAGGATAAGGTCTGTAAACAAAAGTTGACTGGATAAACAGCTGGAAACAACAGAATAGCTCAGACTGTCCGTGATCCAACACAGAAGCAGCCCGAACAGAAAGTCCAAAGCCAGGTGCTCCATCTGGGTTTACTCAGCAGGCCTCCGGTGTCCCGCATTAGAAATGTACCCGGACCCAGACCCTCAGCCCCTGCCCCTCGCAGAGAGCCTATACAAGGCCGGGTGGTTGTGCCTTTAAGTTGCATCGCTATATAAGGCATGGAGACACCAGG